TGAAAGAGAAACGGACTGCGTATAAGAACGAACCTGAAGATTTTACGTAGCTCCTAGTCTCTTCTCATACCGTAATCAAACGAAGCACATATGATGGAAAATCATCATGGAGTGTATATAAGATCCAGTTTTCGATCCTGGCGGAAGTCCTATCCGAAAGTCAGATTTTAAACTTCAACGTGCTCTTGAATACGCTGGAACTGAGATTCGGGAAAAATGCGCAAAAGATTGGGGTCGCTCGCAATTGAAAACTTGCTAGGAAAACGCCTTCAAGAACTGGTGACTAACATTGAGAGGTTGGCGCAACAAGCATATCCTGCCGGACTTTCCACCAGATGTCAGCGCAAATATGGGCTTGATGCATTTCATCGATGCAGCAAGGTTGCGGAAATTCAGAAGGCTCTCAGATTGGCGGATTATAAAGACCTAAATTTCGGCTTAGTCTACACCATGAAGTTCGAGACGGTTCAACAAGCGACTCGAAAAGATCGCCATCCTATTAGAGCAGTTCCAATAGAAGACCCAATTTTGATGTCGCTTATTTGAAAAAAGAGACATTCGGGAGGCGTTAAGAAGGCCGAATATAAGCAACATTGAAAAGAACACAACCAAGTAATGGAATTGTGGACTGGAAGGGCATCTCTGCAGGAAATGTGAAATCAGAGAAATTCAAATGCGGCAATCTTACGGAGAGGATGTTGTCAGCCGTCCTTGAGATTGCCGCGCAGAGATGTAGCCCCTTTGAAAGTTCTCCAGATCTCTTCAATAAGCAGAGATAACGGATTATTCTTCGAATGATACGAGAATAAGCATAGTTGTAAGATGATCATCGATACAGGAGCAAAGGTAACAATCGTGAAAACAGATATAGCTCGATAATGGAACAAAATGCTGCGATGGACTCCTCCTGTGTGACTTTGCGAATAGTGATAAGTGATAAGATCCCGACTGAAGTTAAAATTAACATCACCATTACCTTCGGAAATGAGAACTGCCAGTACTTGGCTTTCGTCGCTAACGTCGCGGACGAATTAATAGAGTAAACGTTTTGAGGAAATACGACTTTACACTAGCCATTAAGCATAACGAGATACACTCTTCAAATCAAGATATAGCTGTGTTTGAAATGAAAAACACCATTTCTTCAGCTCACCAAATAACAATAAAAACAGATGTCATCATTCCTCTGATGACTGAATTATTAATCGGGCTCCATCAAAAACAGCAATAACTTCTAATTTGAAATAACTGAATACTCGGAAACTAATCCAAGAGATATATTAGTCTTCGAGATTAGTAGGCCTTTCAAGAGACTTCGTCCCTGTGAGAGTGGCGAATGTTAGCCACATACCAAGAACCATCCAGAAGGGTGAAATGCTAGCAACATGCATTCCAATTACGTGCGTTAACAAAGCCCCACTTGCAATTCCGGATAAGGTAAATGGAAATAAATAGAAGAAATTATGCAGATTGCAAAATTAACCAAAGAATGAAGACTTGCGGCATAAAAACAATTAAAGACTTATAAGATATATTTTCTAGGAAATCCAGAGATGTTGGCTGCACAAAACTGACGCAGCAACAAATTGATATGGGAGATAACTCTCCGATCTAGCAACATCCCACATGTCTGTTGTCCGCAAAACAGGAAGAAGTTGGAAATCATATGAAAGTGATGCAAGAAAATGACATCAGCGTGTCATCCACCAGCCCATGGGCATCTGCCATAATTCTTGTCCGGAAGAGACGGCTCGACAGGATTTTGTGTTGACTACCGAAGACTAAATAATATCACTAAAAAAGAGAGTTACCGTCTTCCTAGGATTGACGATACTCTAGACACCTTATCAGGATACAAGAGGTTTTCACACTCTGGACTTCAAGAGTGGATAATGGCAAGTGAAAATTCACCCTGATGAAAGAGAGAAAACTGCGTTCACTACGGCCAAGGATTCCTGCAGATTAATGTATGTCATTTGGACTCTATAACGCCCCTGCAACATTTAACGAATGATGGAGACAGTGCTTCATGGCCTATACTACGAATCCTGGCTGGTCTACCTAGATGACACCATTACAGTGGGCCGTAGCTTCAGGAAACATCTAGAAAATATAAGGAAGGTGTTGCAGAAACTGAAAGATGCCAACCTCAAGCTGAGTCCTTCGATATGCAAATTGTTCCGCTGCGAAGTCACATATCTAGGGCACGTCATCTTCACCGAAGGTGTCCGTACAAATCCAGAGGAGTTGTCAGCAGTTCAGGACTGGGAACTCATCAACTATAGAGCTTCCTGGGAATCATTACCATTCGTTTAAGTGCTGTTGAAATCTGTTAGGAATGTATGTTACTTAAATGATAATAGAAAAGAATACACTCACTTTTCATCAGAAAAGGTGTAGCGCTGTCCTACTATTACCGCCTGTATAGCATTAAGGAAGAGCTATACTACAAATAGAAATAATTTGACAAACCAGAAATTATCAAACAACTGGAAGCACAATTTGAGGAAAGGTTCACGGCTCTTTCGATCGACTTTACACCTACTGCCGAACCAGCAAGAAGTCTGAAAACAATTCCATAATCATCTTACTTTAACTACCAGTAACAGATTCTCCCAGCTAAATCAAGAAGCCTACAATAGCGACATATATATACGCAAGAGGAAAGTCAAATCTCAGATGACCAACCAACAAACCAGTCCAATACAATAAATCCTGCCACCTCAGTGGACAATACTACTGTCACTTGCCGTAACTCTGTCCAGCTAAGTTTCTCCTCACCCAATGATCCCGACAGCCAGTCTGGTTCTGGTTCTGCACATTTCGTCACTTTGTAGACTGTTGTAAGGCAACTGCAAAACAATAGTCAACCTCCAGACTCAATCTCCATCCATCTACACCTACAATTTCCAAACTTCTGACCAATTCCTGCCAGATATTTCTTTCATCTCCGGTAGAAAATATTTGAACTGAAAGGAAATCGTCTGAAGATTACGCCTCCAGTCCCCAATATCCACAAATTAATTCAGAACATAATTGAAGAAACGAACATGTCCTCTTACACTTCCCAATTAACAGAGAATAAAATGCTGAAAGTTGTAATACCTAGACTGTCTGTCAACTCCTCTGCAGAAAGCATTATTAATGAGCTAAATAATCTGGATTAGTATCTAAACCATATAATCTAGTGAACCGGAGAACATAAGCCTTCTCTCTTTCTAATCTAGCTGCCTAAACTGAATCAAAAAAAAAAAAAAAAAAAGACCTACAGTGTTAGTTATTTGGGCTATCTTAAGGTAAAAAGAGTCGCTCTGCAAACGGCCTGGCCCTACACAATACTACATGTGCCAGAAATGCTAGCATAGCGTTTTACGTTGCACTAGATCTTCATGCTGCGCTGAAGACAATGAATCAAGAAAATGTAAAGTTGGCCGAATAAAGTGTGCATTGTACCTTGGACTGAACTCAGACAATTTTTCAATTTCCCAGACAATTCTTCAGTTGTAAGATGCCTCTTCATCAGCTGTCAGTTCCATTCCTTTCTTCGTATCTACAACTCATGATTCTACAAAGCCTGCCCATTAAGACGTAAATTTAGTTGCGCTAGAAAATACTAGCAGAGGCTATTTATTGAATAATTTAAATATCCGAGTCTAAGAAAGATCATATTTTCGATTGATATTTCGCTTCGCCCCTCTGAGCATACATTTTAAATGTGTGCGGCTATGAACGTCTTTGTATTTTTTAAGTGACAGCTAGAGCTATTACTATGCTGACTTAATCCACTTAGAGCTGATAATCGTCTAGTTATTATGCCTAGCCGTCTTGTGGTCGACATTATTTAATTCAACCAGAATCTTCAAAATTAAGAAATGATGAGGCACTTTCCTTTTGGTAGTCGCTAAGAAAAATTCTATCTCCTCCGGGATCTATCCAAGCCCGGTGATATTCGGTTGGCTCACTGCTACCGGCCCGTTACATGAGAGAGATCGCAGTCTTGATAAAGAAAAATACTTCTTCCAAATGGGTTGCCGTCTCTAGCGGGGCTTTCTCGTTTGAGCAAGATGCATTCGAATCCGATGAGAAGTTTGTCGGTAAAAGGGATTTAACCTGGAAGATACTGTGCTCACCACCTCATCAACATAGTAGCCAAATAAATACATGTTATTTTTCACCACAATTTTTTTGCGTGTGTACGTGTGTTAGCTAGCCGGTATTTTGCATTTCCTAACCAGTAGCCGGGTGTAGGGCAGTTAGCAGTTAGCTATTGAGAAAAATGTAATAATGAACACGATTTTTGAAGCATTAGATGTTATGATAAATCTCTTCTAGTATTGCAATACATTTGGCAGAAAGCTGTCCGCCTTTCACAAACGTTTAGTACGTAACTGTTAAAAATAAGATCCTACCATATGTCCATTACCACCCCCCTCCACACACATACACATTTGCTGAGTTCTAGATTTATTTGTGGTCAAAATACAACATATATATGTTTTTCAGTTTCTCTACGTAACGGTCACAGTTATTTAATATGGTAACTTAGATTTCACCACAAAATTAAAAGTGATACAGACCTCTGAGTAAGAAACACCACTCAAGCATTAGTAATGTAGATGCTTTTAATCTCACGCACTGTTAAATAACACGACATTATGTAAGCATTTTCAAATCTTTTCATTTTGTTAAAATAACATCGCATGTTTTCTACAGAATTACGTACGAAAACGTAACCACGACATAGATGCATTACTCTGAAAATTTATTTCATTAACGATCTAATTGCATGTCATTTCGCAGGAAAAAACAATCTGTATTCATTTGCTGTATTTTACATTCATCTGTATTTTCCTCCATAAATCCCATTCTTACACCACGCTACTCGAATGTCATAATTGCTGAAAATATTTGAACAGCGGATTCTTTACAAAAGATGATTTTTTAATGGTTAAAATATTCTTGTTTATTCAAAATATCCTGACTTTATAAATCTTGAAAAAATAAAATTTGCCTGTTAGCTGAAACTATTAAACGAATATGATAAAAGTTACTATGTTTAAGAAACTGAGTTCGTTTTTTCTGTGTTCTTTGGTTTATTCGATGGTTTCTGGACATTTAGACGAAGGATTTGATGATATGTCAGAAGATGATGTCAGCCGGTGCTACTACGACATAATATGCCGATTAGGTATACGTACATTTTTTGGTTTAGATATGTAAATTCATTTCCATCCGGAAAGTCCGGGAAAATAAAATTATATTAGTCATCTCAGTAACCAGTCAGTTTCGTTAAAAAATTATTTTCATTATTATTTAATTTTTTAATGAATTCACGTTGTTCATTATAGATATATTTTAAAACAGAAATAATGATTCCAAGGTAATGTAAGCAAAAAATAATTATGTAAATTTATCTGCTAGAAAGAGCATTCAGAAACCTACTTTTTTATTGCAGTATAGCGTATTAATAAGGACTTCAGGATTTATATTGTTTGCTAGGGAATAAGCTACTAAAAAGGAAATTATCAAAATTTGAAATAAACTGTAAATCATTTTGAAGCAAATTTTATTTCAAGTTTTCTGCTTACAAAATATTTCTACTATGGCCTAATATTTAAGTTTTTCCAAGCTGTATTGTTTAATGTAATTAACTGCGCTCCGTGATGTATTTCCTTGCGTTTCCATTTCTGTGTGCATGCGTTTTATGTCATTATGTTCCTCAATAAAATTATTTTATGTCGCAGCACTCCTATCAGATTAAACTTGTATAATAATGAATCTCCTAAATATATTTTAACTGTGCATTTGTAATACAGTTTGTAAATTTATAATAAGATGTTACATACATAATCATTGTCCTAGTGTACAGAAACTGTGAACTGATGTTTCATATTTTCGATACTTTGTGTGTTTTTTCACTTATGTTTTCCATACGCTATTTTATGCCGTCCTGCAATATATATTACATCTTTTATGACTTTACGTAGTGTTTATATACTTGTATACTTCCTTACTTTACAGGTATCAATCAAAAATTTAGTGGTAAAGTTGTCGGTAAGAAAACATTAAAAAATTAAAAACGCAAGAAAGGGAAAGGAAAAAAAAAAGGACAGAAAAAAGCTCCGTAGTTCTGAAATATCGTAATGCAATACCTCGTAGTAAAAAAAATAGGCTTTGGCAAAATTTTAGTGTTTTAAAATACCGCTGCGTAAAAAATTGCACTAAAAACGTAAAGCAGCTACAAAAGAGCGAGTGAAAAACTTTGCAGGAACGTTCATTTCATGCTAGTAAAAAGTTAAAAATTGTGAATGACATGTTGTTCCGTATGCATCATTATCGTTCCAGAATACAAAATTGTCGTGATTCTCTTAGTTTACATTTTTTCTATCATATGCATGCTTTATAATAGAAAGGTTGACATTAAGATACTGTACGAAAAAATAAAGAACTGTGCACAAATGTCTTATTGGAGATATACAGAGAATATTAAAATGAAACTATTTATTTATTTCTAGCTTTCAGCTGTGTTTTAGTATACATTGCTCATCTATACTTTTTGATCTGACTGTTTATTCGTACTGTTCGTTGGAATTTTCAGTCTCTAATTTCCAGATTTTTCAAACGCTCTAGGGTAGATGTACAATATGCATTTTCTTCGTCATACTTACTTTCCACGTATCTATTTGACAGAACGATTCTTCCAATTAATGAAGACAGAACGATTTTCTATCAAGTAGATGTTTTGATAGAAGATCCTATCATTTTGTTAGTTACCCAAAACCAAAACAACTGTTAACTTCACCAGAAAATTCTTTTTCTTTTTTTAAATTTTATTATTATTTTAAAAGATTTGTTTTAAATGTAACTTAAAATTTGTCAGTTTTATTAACTTGCTTATTTGATAAAATGATACTATTATCTCTAAAGAGTATTTAAAAAGTATTCTATTTAATAACTATATAGCAAACTATATAGCATTTAACAATACATTCTTTAAACAAATCGACGGTATCCCGATAGGAACTTGCCCGAGTTCAGCGATCTGTAATTAGTACCTTTTCACCAAGGAATTTCATTTCCAACAACAATCATCTCAAGTACAACATTTATATTACTCTAACACTTACAGATACATAGATGATATTACTACATTCGACAACTACAATCAAATAGAATACGATCGCATGTATTCTTCATGTCTGAAACTAAATAAAACTAACTTTCAACAAGAAGGTATTAATGACCTAGATCTGCAAACTATCAGTTTTAAAGATATTAAAATCTACGGCAAAGGAATAGATTTTAATTTCCCTACTATAAATCTCATCCATTGGCACTCCAATATTTCCAAAAGAGTAATACTTAATACCATACATACTCAATAGAATAAAAAAATATTTGCAATAAAGTCGAATACTTATAAGAAGAAATCACTAACTTAGTCAATATTCTCTTAGAAAGTAAAACACCTCGATTCAAAATTTCTATATCTTTAAAGAAAGCTGGTATTATCTACATTTTTTTAAATTTCTCATCTAAAGAGATATGATAATTATTAATTAAACTTTAATTGGAGGTAATAGTTGGATGACTACGATAAGAAATGTAATGTAAATATGTACAAAGATCTTGTATTTTCCCTTTTAATTATGTTTACTATTTTTATATACCATCTTTCTACTATTTTGTAAATTTAATAAGTGGCAAATCTGACTCTTACTAAAAAAATGGGTTTCTAGTTTCTAAGACGTATTGTACCCCGATTACGAGAAGACTTTTATGTTTTTTCTTTAGCATATATCTTTTTCCTTTTCCGAAACTTTGAGCCAGTTCTGTTTTCGCGCTCTAAGATTTTACAAAGAGCAGCTTCTTTTAGAACTTACGCCGCCAATTTGGGTTGACAATCACCCCCTCGTCGTCGGCAATAATTTTCCAGACCACACCCAACCATCATTGACACTCCCGCACACGAAATATAACAGGGTAGGACATTTTGAACACATGTTAAAACATTTTGTTCTGCTATTGGACAATTTGAACCTTATCGCGCATACTTTTTCAAGAACTGTAAAATATTGGCTTCTCCAGAGCGGTTTGAATTGTAATTTCTTTAGCAAAAACACCGTTTCGTCATCTTTAGAGTTCAGTTAGATCACGCATAGACGGTCGGGTTAAGATTTCAGTAAGTCTGTGTTTTCCTATTTTTCCATTATTTTTTCAAATAAGTTTTCAGTTTTTAGCTGTTGAAAGCTCAGATTTGACTTTTTTATTTAGAGAAATCTCTAAGCATAGTTTTTCGTTTTCTTACTATTAAAAGTAAAGTTCTATGTTTTTTTTAATTGTAATTTTGGCACTATGTAATGTTTTATTTTTTTTTTTCCAAGTGTTTCGAAAATGTGTAGAGAAAATTCTGGTACAATTGAGATTCGAGTTTTCCGGTTATATACGAACTTTAAAGTCTTTAATAAAAATTTTATGAAATCTTTTTATGGTTTTTAATGTCAAATGAACGAGGAGAATGAAACATATTTTCAAAACATATTAATCGACTTTTATGAAGTTTTAATTCATTTTCTCCTGATGTGTTTTGAATTGGAGTTTCAATAAAAAGAGATTAATTTTTATTTGTATAATTTTATATATTTTCCCTTTCGCATTTTTAGTTTTCGAGATTGTTCTACTATGAGTTCTTTCTTTAATTGTATTAGTTTTGATATTGTGTTAAAACTCTTAGACACGGTTGCTTATATATTATAGAAGAATGCCTTGCTTTTATTCCAATTACTAATTAATTTAGATGGTTTAAGTTTTATATATATATATATATATATATATATATATATGGTATCCATAAGGACGACACAATCACCAGAGGGCCTCACCGATGCGCCAGCAGCAAGAGCGAGGTGAAAGAGGAGTATGACAGAGACTTTCTTCTGCTATCCCACGCGAAGGTGGTGAGATGTCTGTCTACACGTGAAGGTGTAGAATAAGGAACTGTAGTTTTCCACGCGAAGGTGGTAAATTGACTGTATAATACATCAGCAAGTGCGAGTAGGCACTAATCGGTTATGTGATAAGACTGGTAAAAGCTATACAGAATCCTCTTTGTATCAAACGGCACTTGTATTTAATCTAATTTGTACCTTTTCTGATTATCTTTATTAAATGTTCTGTGGTGTGGAAAACAACGTTGGAATTGTTATTTAGCATCTTCAACTCCCCTACAAAACAGGGGCCCCGGGGAATATTTGGATATTGGATACTTCAGAGAAGTACTTGTGAAAACTTGTTTATTTCTTTCTTTGAATAGTGATACTTTTGTTTCGTTTTTAAAATGAGTTTCCTAAATAATTTAAAGAAAAGTGATTTAATAGTAATTGCGGAACAAATTGGACAGACTGTTCCAGAAAATGCTAAAAAAGCTGACAGAAAAAATTATCGAAAATTCTGATGTTTTCAAAACGAACGTTGAATTTGTTCGTGGCGTCGTCAAAGTCGATCGCAGAGGATCGGACGCCTAAAACAAGTAATGAACACTATCTGTTAGAGATCGAACGTCTTAAATTAGCTCAAATTGAGAAGCAGATTGAGTTAGAAAGTTTAAAATCACAATCATTATCGAGTGATAGAAGAAACGCGCAGACTAGTGTTGAAGATATTATTAAAAGCGTCAAAACACTAACTATAGCTGTACCTCAGAAACCGGAAGCTATGCATTTGTTTTTTCAGTCACTTGAGAAAGCTTTTACTACTAAAAGTGTACCAGTGGAGTTAAAATCAGAAGTGTTGATTAATTTGTTAGGTGATAAATGTAATAATGTTTTAACGTATGTTTCTGAACAAGAAATCGCGGATTATGATAAATTAAAAACTCTAATCTTGAAAGAATTTCAGCCGACACCGCGTGAATGTTTGAACAATTTTAAAAATGCTCAGAGACATTCATCTGAATCGCATGTTCAGTTCGCGTCTCGACTCAGTGCAACTTTCAATTATTATTGCAAGTTAAGAGAGGTAGATGACTTTAAGAAATTGTGTGATCTTATTGTATCTGATAAGTTGTATGAAACTCTTGATTCTAAAACAAAAGGAACATATTAGTGTTCGGGAGGGTCAAAGTTGGTTCCCACCTAATCAAGTTGGGAGAGAATGTGATTTATTTTATTCATCCAGGGGTAAATCTTT